TGATGCAGTATGTCAAATTCCGTAATGGTCTGGTTACTTACATACTACATCACATACAATCTATTGCTGGAAGGAGATCACCAGCTAAAGTCAGTAATATGCTGCCTATGACTGGGGAAAAAAAAAACTAATCAAAATAACCTTGAAAATAATCAAGAAAGCAGGTACCTTCACAGTTAAGTCCTCATTTCCCAACGTGACGTGTACATGAACTGGAGGATAAAGGCAGCGATCAGCATTGTGTTCCATGGTGGCTCTCATTGCATTCTGCAATTTTCAAGTACAACTTAAATCCTGTTCTTACCACTTTGTGTATTATCTTAAAACATCAATTTAGGAGTTATTTTTATTACATTTCAGAATCAGGACGAATGTATATGGTTTTTAAATAGTTTTTTTTTAATATTTCTGGTTTATCCAGTACCGGTATTTATATAGCTTACTAGAATGCACAGACTTCAAATATTGTTTTTTAGACAAACATCTGAATATTGTAATGTACAGTTTTAGTTTTAGAATTCTTTATAATGCATAGTAAATGCAATATGACAGAAAGATCAGGAAAAGTCTAGGACTGAACTGCTTGAGGAAAATGCTACAGCACCTGTTACACATTATACCAGATTTGAAGATGTCACAAAAATTGTGTATCTTATTCTGACTTGCTTTATTAATTAATGTCTTTATACATTTTAAGATATCTTTGACAAAGCTGTCTACTCAGAAGGTATCAGATATATTCAGTGGCTAGGCCACTTCCAAAGCTGTTCATTTTCTGTGCAGTTACTGTTTGTCTAAATAGTACAATTTAGGTATCTTCCTGAAGTCAAATAGCAAGAGGTTTGCACTTGCAAAAAACACACTGCTATCTAGAATTGGTTCAAAAAGCCAAACAAATACAATCTCACTAAACAAAGATGTATAAAAGAATTGTGTAATGGTAAGTGCACAGACCTTGAAAAGTTCGAAAACCATGTGGTAGAGATGTGATGGCACATACACCACTTGCATGGGCTGTCCTGGTGATTTAGCTGGAGAAAAGAGAGTCAAATTAAATAGCAAACTTGGTATCTTTTATTCATTCATGCAGTAACTGAAAATGTATATTTGTATTGTTGAGAGAGTTTAGAAGAGAAGGAAAATTTGAACAGAAGTCTTTTGAAAAGTTCTATATTAATCAAAAGTCATACTCAAGATTTTCATATGTGGTTGCTGCTTTAGAAACTAATCTTAAAACCCACTGTGGCATCACTGATTAGGGGATATAATAGTTGTTTTCTGACACCTGTGCAGAAGTTATTATGAAGATAGAATCAGGCTATTCAGGTAGTGGGAGAACAAGAAACAGCGAGTGTAAGATGAAATAACAGAGGTTCCAACTGGATATAGAGAAAAACTTTTTCACCATGACAGTTAAACATCGAAGCAGGTTGCCCAGAGATGTTATGTAGTCGTCATCCTTGGAGGATTTTGTAACACCAAACTCGATAAAGCCCTGAGCAACCTAGTCTGACCTTGTGGCTGTCCCTGCTTCAAGCAGGAGGTCGGGCTAGAAACCTCCTGAGGTCCCTCCCAACCTGAAATATCTTATGATCCTATAATGCACCAAATAGTAACTACAGCACAGCGTACTCTTGGATTCATTTAGATACTAGCTGATTTCTAACAAGAAACCTTAACAAAAGTTACATAGACAATTCTGGCTATAAAATTGGTACAGTTTTCAAACTTTTTTTAAAGAATAAATTCTAGAAAATATATCATGGGAACATCATATCAAAAATTAAGGAAAGGTTGCTCAGAAAATTCTGCTGGCTCTTAAGTTTCTTTCAGTTTAACTAATTAATTACTTGTCACCAGTCTGCATTAGTGACCAGTGCTTTATAAACATAAATGTTGAAGACTAGTGATGTCAAAAAATCTAGAACAAATTACGTACCCAGCAAAAATAAAGGGGGGGTTGTGTCAAGTTAACTGCTTCCCTCCATGCCTCCACCCCCCAGATCCCATGCCTAAGGTTTAAATAATGGTGTCCACTCTCAGCTGTGGGCAAGGAATGTGCATTTGCCCTGGATCAGATTTAACTCACCTTCACAATTCACTGAGCAAAAGGTGACTCCTTTTATAAAAACTGAACTATTTGTTCTGGCTTCTGTAACACATACACCATTAAATGACCCTCAGTACAGAATTAGCTAGCATGACTGATAGTTTCCTACAAATGTTTTTAACACCATGCTCTACAGATGGAAAAAGGTAAACCCTTTAACCTAGATACAGAATGGCAGGTTTTGTACAGTAGGAAGAAAAGATCTGGAATGTGTAGTCAAGACCATGCTTTCTTTGCCTTTAGCTTCGTAGGCCATTACTGTGGTTGCACTCAGGCTTTTGCAATTACCTGTAGAAGCAATTTTGATTGCTTGTTTTTGTAGGTCTGTCCAAACTTGGTGTTTAGTATCTTGAAAGTACTCTACTGAGTAGTGTCAGAAAGGCTCTTTAGCATTTTACTATAAGGACAATAGCTGACCTCTGAGTTCACAGCAACACAGTTGTACACCGTTTTTTCAAGTCACAGCCAATGGGTTCAAATATTTTTTACCATGATTTAAGTGTACTGTATCTAATTACAACTACAAGAACATATCAGCTGAATAAGCAAGAGAAATTAGAGTGGAATGTTTAGTATACACCTTAAAAGTGTCACAAGAAATGCAGAGAGGGTGAGATGCAACAGACAGTGTAGGGTGAAGACATAAAAGAAAGGGAGGGAAGGAGGTTGCTAAAATCTGTTATATCAACAGCATTAGTGTCAAAAACTTTTCTACTAATTCAGTCTTCTAATTAAAGGAAGGAATAGCGAAAGCCTTCTGCCAGATTGAAAAAAAAAAAAACATCCAAAACCCAAACTATCTGTGACAGTAGATATGAGAACACATTAACTATAGGAAAAGTGGAAGGAGAACATTTCACCATCAGCTACTTTAGAACAAGGCATCACTACACCCGAGAGAATGCCTTGTCCCATATTCACTTACCATTCAACTCTTCAAGGATGAGTTCTGGAGAGTTCATGTAATATAAATCACAAAGTCTCTTGGCACTTTCATAGCCATCTATAATAAAAATACAGAAAGTTACATTTCCCCTTCCACTTTTTTTTTTCTCCTTTACGGTTTGCCAAAAAGAAAAATAAAAGTTAAAAACACTGTGCACTGTCAGGGAGATTTTATATTTTCTCACAAAAACTGGGTTTATAGGGAAAAGTCACAAAACTGTATTACACTTTAAATGAAACTTTGCTACAGGTAGAAAAGGACTAGGAAGATGTGTATGGCCTCTCAGTATAGACATTGATGTAAGTTTTCAGGATTCTTGTTCTTATCTGCTGAATTTACCTCTAATAACTTCAACAACATTGCAGCTAGGATCAATGCTTCCAATGTGTTTTGGATGAGCTGGATTTATTTTCCCACCAAACAGTAAAGCTGCCAAAAAAGAACATATTATTTAATACCCAATACAATTTTATAATTTTAGTTTGTGTCTTCAGTTCTGCTAAATAGAAATGTATAGGCAATCTATAATGCCACTCTTCACCATACTTGAAAGCCTACTATTAAATCTTTTAAGAATGGTATTAAGAATAAGTTTATAAATAGCAAGGCAAATAATAGTGTACTCCTAAGAAGCATTTAAGTATGTATTAAGCACTTAAAAATGAAAGTAAAATATACCGACATAGTACAGGTACCATTTCCCCTCTTTTCAACAGTGGCACTTACAGTGTTGATTAAGGAGCATTCTAATTGAAATGCGACTCATGTAGAAACGGTCTAAAAAATACTGCACATTCTGTGAGGTCACTGGATCAATGCCAAAGCTTTCCTTGTACTCTATTACTCCTTGAGCCATCGTAGGAATTACATCATTGTGTCGATTCCGGATTTTTATCACAGTATCTGTAAAACTAAAATGAATACTTTGTTAGTATTTCGAGTTAATTTAATACTCTGGCAAACAGAGTATCTGCCTACAAAAGTGAAGACAGTTATGTATAGAAATATCACAGGTTTGCCTATGGCAGTAAGAAGACAGGTCAGTCTTTACAGTGTATTTCAAGCGACTCCCATTGAAAGAATCAGTAACCAACCATTATCGACTATTTATAAAAGTATTATTTATTTATTATCTTGATTACTGCCAAGAAGAAGAGAAAACTCTGCCAGCCATTTTCATGCAGGTCGTCCCATGTGTGTCAAGTGGCAGTTATGGTCAGCCAGCGATGACCAAGCCTACTCTACAGGTGAAAAGTTCCATACATCAGTTCCAACATTACAAGTAAGGAATTGGTAAACATTTGGTCAAGTTTAACGTATTCATAGCTTCTTCAGTGTAACAAAAAAAGCCCTGACCAGAATGATACGGCATAAGAGTGCTTTGTTTCATGTTTTAATGTACCCTCCTTTTAGGGACAGGGGGTGACATTACTGCGATTCTTACATAAAGACTGGAGATAGCTGAAATTTTTCTGAAGCTATCATTTTCTTGTCACTCCTTCTACATAATGATAACATGTGACAGCAAATCCTTACCTATGAATAGCCCCTGAATCTTCTGAGCTCTTGTCCTTAAAGTCAAGGATCTCCTGAAGACTTTGGACATACCTGTAAATGAAAGAAACATGACAAAGACCAATTCTAATATGCCTTCCCAGATCCCTTTGGTTAGCAATTTACGGTCTTCCAAGGTTGCTTGTTTCCAAACCACTGTATTTTATATATCCCATTGACCTATCCCCCCTATCACAAAATGTGAATTTTGTTAGATCCTTTTGAATCTATTCATGAGGTTCTCTTCCAAAATTTCCAGAGCAATGAATTCCACAATTTAATTAGAATGCATAAAAGATCTTCCTTCTGTTTTAAACCCAGTAGGTGATCACTTATTTGCAGCCCCAGCGAGTTCCTGTTATTAGAAAATCTTCCCAGCTTGTTCATAGTTTAAGTATTTCTGCCATCTCTTTCCTCAGATGTGTATTTTCCAAGCTGAAGAATTCTATTTGATTTCTCCTCACGTAGAAAATGTTCCAACCCTCTGATTATCCCTCTTGGTCTTTTCTGTTCAGGATGGAGTGACTAAAACTGCATGCAATTCAGAGGAATAATGGGCTAACACAGTGGTACAATTATATTCCTTCCCATTTGTTACTTAGTTCCTAACACTATTTGTCATCTTGCCCATCAGCTGACATATTCAGAAAAATATCCCCAGTAGCATCAAAATTTCTTTTTCCATTGTAAGCAAGCAAGCATACAGGGAGAGGAGGTTCCTCTCTGTGCTCTACTTCGCATTTGTCCAAGTGGAATTCATTTCACATTTGATCAATGTCATTTAGTATCACGAGAATTTAAGCATTTGTGTTTCATTAAGAGCCTTCATCTTCATTGATAGCTCTTTTTATATTCAGTCATCTCATCAATCCCACTTACTCTCTGGCAGATTTTCTGATCTCTTAACTTTAAAAGCCTTTCCAGATAGCCATGTGCCTTTAGCAGCTGCCAAGCAATCTCTTTGCTTTGCTTTCCGTTTACAATTATGTGTTAAGCTCCTTACTTGAAAGCAAATTTTACTTTTCAAAGGATGTCTTTTTTTTATTTTAATAGCCTCTTGTTCTTTCTGTTGTCTTACATATTTTGGCTTTGGGAGCTTCCTATTGCTCTTTCTTCATATTTTCTACACCTTTACTCTCAATCTGCAATAACCTGTCTTTTAAAGGGTTTCCACTATCTTTTGCAAGCATTAGCCTGCTTCTGTTGGTTTCTTCAACTAGTGTCTTCATTTTAGGTAAGACCCCTATTAAGCATTGTTCTGATAGATTTTTTTGTTTTTACTGAATCCTTATACATGACTCTCTGCAATAATTAATGATTTTTAATTCCCTTGTGGGTTCTTTAATTGCTCCCAAAGGGTTTTTTCCAAGTCTGTAAATTTAGTTTCTGATTTATGTCCCATTGGGATATTTACTCAGTCTAAATAAGTGATGTTCATGTAATGATCAGGTGAAATGTTCTTTCTATAGAAGAGAATGAGTTCCTCCAACTTATGTATATGCAGAAGTTCGCCCTTAAAGGTATGAAATGGTGCTGTTCTTACCAGCTCTGTACCAGCTGAACTGAAGGTGTTCTTAGGAGGTTGTCTGGAAGCAGGCTTATTTCCTTCATTATGTTTGCCAATCTCACAGGCAACTCTTGTCGCAGAAACATAAATGAAGTCTTTTCACAAGCATTTTCAGATCCTAAGACCAAAATAAATGTATGACATCAGAATAAAGTGAGTACTTATGGCAGAGAACTACTCAGACTTTTACTTTCTTGCATAAGAGGTCTGTGGTTTGGTTTGAAAGTTGACTCGGCCAGTCTGGTAAGCCAATGTTTCCTTCATGGCAGTGGCCCATTTATATTTCAAAATGTAAACTCATACTGAATACTTTTGAATATTGAATACTACCAGCCCAGTTGCAGTAACGAGAATCTTCAATATATAAAGACTAACTAGTGCAACAGTTGCAGACCCATATTATTCAACTTTAAATATCCCTTCCATCCATATAAATTGTTCCTTTCATTTGCAGCAAACATTGACTGTAACTAGCACTGATCAAACAGTATGTCATTCTGAGCACGTCAGAGGCAAATGAAACCAGCACAACTATGTATGGGCAGGATGCTTGAGAAAGTATCATGGTCCCACACGCCCTGCTTGATCACTCATCTTACTGAACTACCATAACTCAGATTGGAATACTTTCAGAAGATAAATTCTGTAATATTTAGCTCATTTTCAGCTAGATCTGTTGTAGTTTAAATTCACTGTCTTACAGGAACAGAAGACAGATTAATGAATTCACATGCATACTGAGTGAGAAATGAAAGTAGGATAGTTACTGTGCTTAGTCATTACGATCGTAGTTCTCCCATATATTTACTTTTAAAATTTTTTATTTTTTTAAAAGCTAGAAGCTAAATTACTGCACCTGTTGATAACTGACCTGTCCTTTTGTAAGGACAATTGTCATCTGTGTGGGTGGCAATTAACTGTGGTTATGAAGAGCAAGACCTAAATTTATTCCCACAATGCTTGTTTTACTAGGTGAGCAAGGACAGTGTGGAGTGGGGAAGAAATGCTGTACTTTATTCTCTGCCAGACTTCTTTCTAGATTTCAAGAGTGTCTTGTAAACAGCATCTGAACTTACTAACTTGTTAATCTGTTGCAGCGAAGTACATATACCTCAGGCTTGGTGGTTTATAACAGGTAACTCCTAGAAATTAGCTCAGTTCACTCCTTGTATTTGGCAAGGGGGAGTTGGGGAAGAAGATTAAAGGAAAGGACATGGAAAAAGAGGAAGCTGGGAGTGTCTTAAACAGGAAAAATCTTCACCAAATTGAAATGGAATGGTTTAATTTAATGCATCCAGACTCAGAATGACAGTTAACTTAAAAAAGTGAATAGCTTACAAGAAATTCCTCCCCAGTGACAGTCACCAGTATTATGCATTGTCTATACATGACCTCTGCCCATGCATTTCAGGCATGGCTGTTACTGGCCTTTCTCTTTTCTCAGGTAAAATTCTATTAACAAGTCAGACTGAAGGTATCAGAATGTAAAGATAATCTTCAAATGCCTCATATACTCAGCAAATGGCACTCCACAGCTGAGTTCTGTATCTGGAGGCCATATCTTTGCAATCCTGGGTCAAATATGGAAGACAGCTTAGGGTAAGCAAGACTTCAGTGAAAGGGTAAATGACTTTGTTTCCCTGTGCAGCTATGGTCTATTTGGGCAAAGAATGGATAAGATTCCTACAGAAAATACTGTGTGCTTATAATCCAAGATATGACCTAAATTTGCTTATGGAATATTTCACTTGCTAGATCGAAACCTGGAGGAACTAGAAGCAGGCAGACCATTTTGGGTTTGGTTTTTTGTTGTTTTTTTTTAAAGTTAGCATTACCAGATTTTATGATTTCCTCTTTGCTCTCACTCTAACAAAAGGAGCCAAAAAATCCCCAGCGAAAACACCATCAGATTATAATGGCTACAGAATGTCTTACAAACAAATACTGTCTCAGTGTTTTACTCTACTCCCTTTTATTGCCTTTGTTATTAGTTTTTACTATGTTATTAAATCCTTAAGCAAAAGAGAGAAAAAAAAAAGTTAAAAGTTTTCAATGTTATCTTTACCTTACGTTCATAAAATCATAGAAGTTTGGGTTGGAAGGGTCCTCTAAAGGCCATCTAGTCCAACCCCCTGCAGTGAGCAGGGACACCTTTAGCTGGATCAGGTTGCTCTGCGCCCCGTCCAACCTTGAATGTTTCCAGAGATGGGGCTTCTACCACCTCTCTGGGCAGCCTGTGCCAGTGTTTCAGCACGTTCCTTGTAAAAAATATCTTCCTTTTATCTAGTCTAAATCTACCGTCCTGTAGTTTAAAACCATTACTCCTTGTTGTATGGCAACAAGCCCCGCTAAAAAGATTGCCCCCACCTTTCCTGTAGGCCCCCTTTAAGTACTGGAATGCCACTATAAGGTTTTCCCGGAGCCTTCTCTTCTCCAGGCTGAACAACCCCAACTGTCTCAGCCTGTCCTCACAGGCGAGGTGCTCCAGCCCCCTGAGCATCTTTGTGGCCTCCTCTGGACTCGCCCAGCAGGTCCATGTCTTTCTTGTGCTGAGGATTCCAGAGCTGAACACAGTACTGCAAGTGGGGTCTCACCAGAGCAGAGGGGAAGAATCACCTCCCTCGACCTGCTGGCTACGCTGCTTTTGATGCAGCCCAGAATATGGTTGTCCTTTTGGGCTCTAAGTGCACATTGCTGGGTCATGTCCAGCTTTTTGTCCACCAGCACCCCCCAAGTCCTTTATCCCCCAGCCTGTATTGATACCGGGGATTGCCTCGACCCAGGTGCAGGACCTTGCACTTGGAGGACCTTGCACTTGTGTTCAGGTACTAACAGCAAAAAAGTAGCCTAGCTTTTGACATGAGGAAATACTGTGCCTTGAAAATAAACACTGATTTTAAGGTAAGCATTATTTTATTAGTATTTAGTGATAAAATAATACAGGTGAAAGCAAACTCTGAATTGCTTAAAAGTACAGTAGCAACAGAAGATATGGTGGGGTTCCTGTGCAAATCTGGAGTTTTAAATATGGGATACATTTTGTTGCAATGCATGCAACATTGAATAGATGGATGAAGTGACAGCAGATAGTTAAGAAAAACTTTTCTTTGTAAGTCTTCCTACGTACACAAAGTCTGGGGTTCTAGGATTAGTTCTCAGTTACCTTTTACTTACAAAACCATAAAAAGCAATACAACTATTAACTAGTTAAATGTTTATACACCACATTTATGTAAACATTTATGCACATGAGAGTGCCTTGGGTACAGAAACAGAATGTATTATAGTATGGCTCCATCCCCAGGCTTTGAAAAGGTTTCTCGGTGTGACTTACAAGACCTTTCTCTGTGCAGTCTTTGCTTTGAAGCAGAACAGAGCAATTCCTGTGATCCCTTTTGTTTCCAAGCAGTCAGTCAAACATGGGAGCATTAGAGAGGTTTCAGTGCAGCGTCTGAGTATCCCATTACCCATTTACTCATTTTCAAGGCTAGATCCTCAGTCCTCCAGGATGGCTCCTGGTTTTTGCATCCCGCTCCCGTCTTCTAAAACAACATTCAGGTACGGTGTTTGTGTAGGGCACAGACACGTGACCGAAGAGAAGCGGTAACTGTTTCAGCTCCTCGGCGTCAGCTGAGGTTAAACGTTTCTTGCGTTTGCTATACATTAAAAGGTTGCACGCTGCTAGCTTGCAAAAGGCTTAACTAATCTCACCTTTCTGAGCCACTGCTCTAACAGTACCAGATGCCATACCTGTCCCCACCCTCTCCCCAACACTGCAGGTTCTGCAGAAAAAAAACAAATTACTTTTGCGATGCCAAAAACTGGAGTTTCCAGCTGAATCTTAACCTTGCCACAATTCCAGTCTCCGGGGAAGGAGCCAACTGGGCTCCCTTCTCCCGGAAGCAGAGCCTTTTTGTGCCAAAAACGGCAGTATTAAGAAGAGATAAGCAGCAGCAGGGGATAGGCGGCAGCGCTAACGCGGGGGCGGTGGGGCGCTCGGGGCCGCGCCGGAGCCGCCCCGCTCCTCACAGGCACCTGCGGGCAGCGTGGCGGAGAGGCGGGGGCGGTGGGACAGGGGGCAGCCCGGCGGGGACTCACCGAAGTCCAGGAACTGCTTCATGGAGAGCGGCGAGGGGGAGAAGCGCGAGTAGAAGTCCAC